ATGTCCAAGTGATCTGTGCAGTGGCAGTAGTTCAGCAGTGAGCAAGCAAGCCGCCTGGGGACGTTCCTGAGAACCGTTCTAGGAAAGTTGGCCCGATCTGTGACACGTTGTACGAACTGGAATCTCAGTCTTTACCGCATCATCATCAGATCTTCATTGATGTACCACACAGAAGGAGGGATGGCACCGGTCGGGGAGATGACACAGATCGGGGAGATGGTACGGGTGCGTGCATACAGTACCACCGAGCACCAGTAGGCTAAGGCTCGCTGCGTGTATTCATTGGGCATCGCACCTGTCGGAGAGGATGCACCGGGTTTGCCATTAAAATGCTTAGTAAGCTTAAGACTCTTTTCTTCGATAGAGATGGACTAGTTAGGTCATATTGATGAAAAAAAAAAAAGCTGAACGAAATGATTTCATTGCTTTTCCGCACCGGGGTCGGAGAGATCGCAGCGTGGTGCGATGAAAAACCGAGAAATAACAAAAATCAACGAATGCACCCGGTGCCATCTCTCCGCCGACTCACTCGAGACGCGTTGTTGTGTACTGTTGTACAATACACCGTCGACAAACTCGACAGCGCTTTTGTCGGAGGGCCGTTTGCTCAATGTCTCATCTCGTTGTCCTCAGCTACTTCCTTGTTGCGTGGTACCTGTCTAGACTGCTGTGCCTTTTTATTCAGGCGCATGATGATGCGGCAAATATCGCACGGCAACAACCTGCTGCATTTCTCCGGTGACAAAAAAATAGCGACATTTTCAACAAGGAAGAGGGTATTATGCATACCTCCCTTGGCCCCCTTCCGTTCTCGAGCCCAACCCTATTATTGTATTTTTTGTAAAATATTTAGAAGTATGTATCCAATGTAGTGCGAAGAAATTCGAGCGCAACAACACTGCGCTGTTTGTGTACCTCTCGGCAGCTGTACTGCTGTAGGTTGCACTCAAGCCATACCCTCACGAGTTCCTGCCCTTGAACCTTAGGCATCTACAGTAGTAGTATCAGACGCGTACTCGCGCTCTGTTTGTTCCTCGATCTCTATGGTGGATACGGTATAGTCTATACCATAGCTTTGAGCTCTATTGGATATCCGAGGAGAGCACGTACGTCAGTGGCACACTTTTGAGAGAAAAAAAGGTCAGGTGCGCCTGCTTGAAAAAGGCGGTACCCGACCGCTCGTCAGCAACCACACGCGTACTTATCTCGAGGTCCGAAACAAGCTCATATGAGCATGTGGACCGCGACAGGCTGTAAATCACGTACCGAATGGTTGGGTGTTGCAGCACTGAAACAACGTTGAACTGCCAAGTTCTTGGGTGATGGCGACTCTGTACACGAAAACTTGAACACGCAAGGGAGAAAATTTCGCTGCTATGGGCATGCTTGTAGTTTCCTTCGCACCTCGAATGCCTAACGCCCTTTTCGGCGTCTACATAGGGCATCGAACAACGACGTTGGGCAGTAGCACGCTAGTTTTCAGGCTCATCTAGAGCCTATAGTAGTACGTGCTCGTAGCTCGCTCTGTGATTTCGAGGCTACTAGCTTTTGGGAGGCACACTCTGCATCCGTGGCAAGAGCTCCAAGCAATTTCCTTCCGAGGTCAGAAGCAAGGCTCCACGATACGAAATTACAGCGCTGTCTGTGTTCTCAACGCGTCCCGACGGAGTACCGTAAGGATGCGAGAGATGGGCATGGCACCGTGGGCACGATCGCTTAGTTTTTATCAAGGTGGTTTGTGTTGGATTTTTTTTTCGCACCCCGGCGCCATCTCTCCGATGAGTGCCATCTCTCCGACCCCCGACGCGGAAATACAATTACAATCGCTTCCTCTACAACTTTCAAGGCACCCCGTTGCCATCCCTCCGACCGGTGCGATGCCCAAATAAATGCACACAGCGGCCTTCTGGGTGCGATCTCTCCGACCCTGGTCCGGATATGCAATGAGACCATGCCTCCTTTGCATTTATTATTTTTCGTACGCACGCTGGTGCCGCCTCTCCGAACCGTACCATCTCTCGCAAGGTCACGGTACACGTTGTTTTTCCATCGTGTTATTTTTTTTTTATGCATGTCGCTCTATTTGAAGTTTGCGTTTTTTTTTCTGTAGTCAGACGTGGCACACTGGTCATGTTCGAATGTTAATGTCCTCTATCCCAGGGGAACGTGCGTCGTAGTACCTTGTCTAGACGGTGGCCAAAACGACCCATGGCGGTGTGGAACGATATACACAGTTGTGTGCGAGCGTTCATCAAGCACGGCACGATGTTCTGTGCGTGCGTCTTCGGTCAAGACACGTACTAAGTAACTGGTACACGATAGAGAGAGCCAGTTCACCCAGTCGAGTTGGAAAGCTGGCCGTAAAAATCAAAAAGACAAATCTTCGATTTGTTCGATTTCCGCACGGGGTCCGCAGGGGGCGATGACTGTCAACCTCGGGTACAGTAGTTGAGTGCCAACGATTCCGTGGCGGATTTTATTCCTGTATCCATGTCCATGCCGGTGCTGGCATGTGGGCTTCGGTGTACAGCAGTAGGATGTGGCATCGTCGCAAACCACATGTGGAGGTATGAAGGAGATGCATAAACAGCGGTACTTCCGTTGATATTTTCAGCGAATGGATAAGCTTGGTCCAGTCGACCAAAACACAAGCAAGGCAACAGCAACCACAGCCCGAGACGACTGCCCTCTGACATGACCGCCAAGTGGTGGTGTGACGCCTGTGCTCACAACTCGACGGCGGAAATTTCGTTCCGCGGCCGGCGGGCGGGATCCTTAGTTCGCCACTTTCTTATTTCGCCGCGTTTTTTGTTTGTGTATGGTTCTCTAAGTAATACAGTAGCATCCACCGGGCTAATTGGTTGACTGATTGTGTGTGTACATTGCGTGTGTAGCCTGCAACTGCAGGACGACCAAGGGGTTCGTGTGTCCGCAAGGATTCATTCGAGTGCTGCAGATGCCGAGTTTCGCACAGGGGTGTGCGTTAATTTCCCAAAACCAACTGATTTGTTTCGATTTCCGCTCAGGGTCCTGTGCGATGAAAATGAATCGGTGAAATGTTTTAAAAACGACCGCACGGGGATGTGATGACACGCAATCTTGCGGTATAGCTTGTGTTGTTCTCTACGGTCACGCGCCCCCGTCCTCACTCGCCGCCTTGGATCTCCCGTCCCCTCCAGTGTGATGGCCTAAAGCCCTGCCAGGCATGCCGAAAACGCGGCGTGACTTGCCACTTCAGCGTGAAGCGACCGACCGGCCCCAGGAAAGCAGCTCTTCTCGCCGCAGCAGCCGCCGCCGCGGCCGCCGCCGCCGCCGCCGCCAACCACGCTACGGAGGGCGCGGCCGCCAGGAATACGGCGCCCCCCCCCGGTTCCCTTCTCAGGGACGCCATGCTGTCGCCACGGGGCGGCGGCAAGCGCATCATCGGCCTTACCGGCGGCGACGGGGCTGACGGGGCGGAGAATAACGCCGAGAATGGCGGCACCACTGCTGCCAACGGAAGCTACAACAAGACCTTACCGTCCCTGCTGCCGGCGCCGCCACCGCCGGCGGCGCAGCAGCAGCAGCGCGCCGGCGTCGCGACCAGGCAGGCGTCGGCCGCCAAGGCCGGGGACAAGCGGCTGGCAAAGACTCGCGCCGGCGCGGCCGGCGGCGGCAGCGGCGCCTCGGCCGGATCCACCCTGTTCCCGCTGGCTCCCAACGCGGTCGCCGCCGGCACCGACTCCTCTCCGGGAACCCCGCCCGAGCTTGCCAAGGGCGTCAGCGGGGGATGGACCAGCGCCACGAGGCAGGGCACCGGTTCGTCGGAGTCCGAGAGCGGGATCGCGCGCGTGGAGGGAAGGAAGAGGTGGCAATCCGTCGACGGCAGGGCGGACGACGGCGGTGGAGACGGCCGCCTTCAAGGAGCCTCCGCGCGAGCTCCTGCCACCAGCGGCAGGGGCGCCAGGCGCGGGGGCGCCGCCGCCGGTGGGACCAGGGGGGGCGGCAAGCGCGGGGGGGCTGGGGGCGCCGTGGATGCAGGCGGAAGAGGCGGCGGAGGAAGAGGAGCGGAGGGGAGGGACGCCGGCAAGGGCGGGCGGCGGGTGTCTGCCGGCGCCAGAAGTGGCTACAGCAGCAGCAGCGACCTCGCCGGCAATCCGGCGGCGCATCCGAGCGCGGCGCCTTCGGCAGCGGCAGCGGCCAACGGCACCTCGCGGGCCCTGAGCGACAGAGATCACGGCCTGCTTGGCGTTTTCTTGAAGTGAGAAAGAGGAGACGACTGCGGTCTGTGTACCCTTGTGTTCGTGTCCTGTTTTAGGGGTATATGCACTTTTTTTACCATCCGTCGTGTCTGTGCCACTCGAAGGTCACGACCACCGCCCAAGGCTAGCGCAAGAGGGAATTAGCGGTCGAGTTGATTCAGCACGAAAAGCGGCAGCAGAATCTCGCTTGACCATCCTATCAACGTGTGATATTTCCCGCCGAAGTTGTCTGTTGCTCGTGTTGCTACATCCCTACCCTTGGTCCAACCTGGGTCCCATCCATCCCTCACGCAACCCCTTCCCGCCGAACGTTGTTCGATCTCCCTTGTCCTTGCTCGCGGTTTTGGGCGCGCGGCCTCTGCTGCGCTCAGCACCGTGAATGAGTTCCTGCCGCTCATCAGCAGCGACGTCGTCGCCGCAATGCGCGACGACATCGTCGTGGACGGGATGAACGGGGCGAGCAAAAAGCGCCGCAGGCTGTCTCCGGGGTCTGGCGGTTCCGACACTGACTTCGAAAGGTAGAGCGCCACCGGCCACGCCGGCAGCCCCTTGGCGCTACGCGTTCTGTATATGGAAAAGTATTACGTGTTTGGTGCTATGTGGGTTGTACGCGTGTTCTGGTCTACGACAGAAGTACGGCGTGTTTAGTGCTACAATATGCATGTGTGGGTTGTATGAATATGTGGCACGGGGTCGACTGTTTGGCTGACCGCAACCAAAAAAGGTTTCCCGCCGCTGTTGCTCTGCTTCACGACTCGAAAAGATGCCTCAGTGGTCTATCGGTTGCCTGCATCCACGTTCAGGCGCGCGGCGCAAACTGCCGCAGAGGAAGAAGCAGACCCTCCCCACCTCGACCCGAACCCCCGTCCTTTGCCACCTTGTGCTCCAAGCCTTCAAACCGAAAAACGCTTGGATGTGCCCGTGTATAAACACTAGATTGTGCCATGTTTTCGCTCCGGGCCTTTTCAGCCAAGAACCGCTTGGACACCTGCCCTTGCGTAACCATCAGGTTGCGCCATCTTTTGCTCTCGAGCCTTTCAACCTAAAAACGCTTGGACATGCCGTTGCGAAGCGATCAGGTCGTGTAATCATTTGTTCTGGGCCTTCCGACAACGTTGTAGTAATGGCTTGGATATATTGCCGTGACCTAACCTTCAGGTTCGCGCGTAGCTCTCTCATCGAGGCTGCCCTGAGCGTGGGCGCCCTGGTGACGAGGGACCGGGTGGCGGCGGTGGGTTTCGCGGAGAACGCCCGGCAGCTGCTGAAGGAGATCTTCGACGTCCCCAGCGAGGAGGCCGCTAGCGCGTTCTTGTGCCTGGCCTACTTCAACACGTACAGCGGGGAGGCGCTCCGCGCAGACCTGTGAGATGATGCTCGTCTTTATTTCGTGGTGGTTGTTAGGCTGACTGCCTTTTGCCGGTGTGGGTGTGCTCTTGTTTTTTGCCGGTGTGGGTGTGCTCTTGTTGTCTTCAAGCTGTTGGGTGGATGCGTTTTTTTACTTATCGGGGTCGCGACGATGGAGACAATACAGGGTGGTTGGGGGCTCGAATCGGCTCCCCCACCGCCACTTTGGCGCGACGATAGACGACGACGCTGCCACCGTTTCCACGAGCCTTGTGTGTGCCTTTTCTCACCCACGCGCTGTTGATACGTCGTCATTTCAACAGGTACTTGGTGCAGGCGCACAGCTTCTGCCTCAACCTGCCGGAGTTCCCCCTGAACCTGGAGATCTGCATCGAGCACCTGAGCCACGGGCGGCTGAAGATCGAGCTCCGCCCAAACTTCCACACGTGGGGAAACCGCCGCTACAGGGTGAGTGTTTCGTGCGCGCGTGTTGTTGCATGTCATCGGCCGCGCTAAGCCAGCGTGCCGACGGAAATGGTGTCACGCTTTTAGCGGGATGAAGGCGAACGTGTGTTTCTTAGTATTGACATCGACCGCGCTAACCGGCTGACCAATGAAACGACGTCAGCCTCACGGCAGTGTGGCTATTATTCGTGTGTGCTTATTGCTGTATGTATGATGCTCACTGTTTTTTTTTTTTTTATGTGTTGCTGTGGACTGGACCTGGATACGAGGGGTCATTTGGAGGGAGCATTTTGACTCGGGTGCTGTTTTGTGTCTGTTAGGGACATCCAAGAGCATTTTTTCTCGACCATGCATCACACATCCCGTCACCCTCCGCCCTCCCTCCCCGCTCGCCTATGCGTGTGTGCCTTCCTTTGCCCTCTCTTCGCGTTGTTTCCCGCCCAGGTCCTACACGTGGCCAACCACGTGCTGTCCATGCTGACCCAGACGGGGGATCGCGGCCTGCCCGCGGCCCTGCAGGCGGGTGACCCCCTCGCGTTCGAGGGGGGAGAGGCGGCCCTGCTCCGGTGCGTGGAGGAGCTGGTGACGTGCATCAGGATCAGCGAGAGGGACACGCTCGCCAGGCTCATTTGCAGGTGCGTGGTCGCATGGCGTTGGGAGGGGGGCGTGTCTTGTCCGACCAGGTGTTTTTTTGTTGATGCCCCACGCCGATGATGCCCGTCCGAAACGCCCATCGTCTGGTAGCTTGAAAACGGGGCTGGTTCTGTGGTGGCAGCCGCAATCTAGATAGGCTTGTGAGGACGCCCTAATCTTAGTCTCCCGCCTGCTGCTGCTGCTGCTGCTGCTGCTGCGCTATGCTACGCTGGCGTTACCCTGGAGCTGGCCGATTGTTGCCGTGACGATAGTTGTACAACCCATTGACGACCGCAGACCGCCCACATCGCCTTGAATTTTCCGCGACACAGTGACGAACGAACGACATCGCTTTGTTTGCGGTCTCACTCCAAGGTCACTCTCCCCCCTCCCCCTCCTACGTCTGTCGTTGTCGCTCGCCTGTGTCCCTTGCGGTGGATACTATGTTTTGGACGGACTCTTCAGCTCCTTGGTGGGGCTGCTCCTCATGCTGCTGGGCCGTCGCGAGGAGAGCATCGCCGTCGCCGAGTCGGTTGCCGAAGGAGTGACCCCCACCCCGGCCATCACTCGCGTCATGCCCTTGTCCTGGATCGCAACTACCGTAACTTCGGTAAGAAGCAGCTGTCTGCACAGAACGGAAGATTTTACTCCCTGTTAGATACTGTATGCATGAGAGGGTCATGTGCCTACTCGCCCTTCTTGCGCGCCGCGGCTGCAAACGGCGCCATTCATTGGACGTACAAGTAGTCTATCGCATTGCGATAGAAAGAGGCCGGGCGTTGCTGAGCACGTTTTTCCGCGGCCTTGCTAATCTATCTTCTTGGCGTGCTTTACCGTGCTAGTAGAGCCCTCCCTGTTTGGCTTCCTCGCGTGTATTTGGCCTGCTACCGCCTGCCACAGTCCAGAACCAGCAACTCTAGCTGTGGGGTATGCGTCGAAGAAATATGCTTGTATTGCGACAGGACAGCGAGACCCTCTCCCCCTTCCCCCTTGGTGCTGACCATCTCATGCCCCGCACCCTGGCCCCGTTCACGTGAATCATGTGCCCGCCTGCCGAAACAAACGAAAGGCCCTGCTGTTCATCTACGAGAGGCACGGCGTGTACTCCCGCCTGTACGAGCTCGTGGCGCCCGCGCAGAGGCTCTCTGGCTCTGCGGGACAGGAACGCGAGTGCGCGCTGCCCCTCCCGGGGTCCGACGTGGGAGAATACCTCAGGCACACCTGCAGGCCGTCCACCTTCTGCCAGCTTGTGGTGACCATCTCGCGCCTGACGGACCGGGGCACCAAGAACTTTTGCCCCACCCCGGACGCCTCCCAGGTAAGCGTAATACATCAGTGGGGTGTCCCGCCCGCCCTCCGCGCGGAAGGTTAGGTACTTTCGTATTTTCCCGTCCCATCCCACTTGTTTGCAGCCGTGAAGATATGGAGAGTGTATTTGTTGGAAACGCGTTCGTTTATTGGCGGTGGTGGGACGAGTCCCGTCTCAAGCGCCCGCACTCGTCTACTGTAGCTATGGCCCTGTCTAGCTAGCCCTACGCTACTTGTTGCGCGCCCGAACCTTCGAGTTCGTTGACATGGAGCTCTCTCCGTTCATTTACTGCGTCAGGGTGCGAGCCAAGATGATCGTTGGCCGGCCATGTCCGGGCTCTTCAACAACACCGGGGGTGGCCTGGTGGGATCGGCAGCGGCGGGAGCGGGCGCAAGGCGGGCAGATGGAGGAGGAGGAGGAGGAGACACGATGAGAGGGGGCGGCGTGCCCAGGGGGGCGGACGTCGACAAGGCGGAGGAGGAATGCGCCGGCACGCAGCTGGCAGAGTTGCTTGCCTCCCTGCCCCCGGCATCGCCGCCCAAGCTCTCGGGATTGGTTGACGTGGAGTCGTACACTGACCTCCCGTCACACATGGACGACTTGGCCGAGGGGGCAGCGCGCGGAGGCAGCGGCGGTCTCGGCGGCGGCGGCGGCGGCGGCAGCGGCGGCGGGGGAGGTGAGCCCGGCTACTTCAGGGGGGCCTCCCCGTTGCCGTTCTTGGGCCGCACCTCTTCCCAGGGCCGCGAGCACCAGGTGCAGCACCAGCATCAGCAGCCCCGCCGGTTGACAACCCTGGCTAGAGGAAGCTCGCAGAGCTCTTCCCATTCCGGAGTTCACCGGGGCCCTCCGTACTTCCCGGACCTTGGAGACCAGCATCAGCAGCAGCAGCAGCAGCAGCAACAGCAGCAACAGCAACAGCAACAGCAGCAGAAGTACGGGGGTCATCGCGGCCCGCCGCACTTTCCGGACGTTGGAGACCAGCAGCAGCAGCAGCAGCAACAACAGCAACAGCAGCAGCAGCAGCAACAGCAGCAGCAGTACGCTGCTGGGGTGCACCGTGGACCACCAATGCTACCTCCTGACCTCTCCCAAGGAGGAGTTGAGCTAATACTGGAGGGTTTCAACGCCGGCATGCCGTCCACTTACCCTGCTGGTGGCGCTGGTGGTGACGACGGTGTACGTAGAGAGGGTGAGGTCCGAGGAGTTGGGATGGGCTCGGCGGGACCGGGGCCTGGGCCGCCTCAGCAAGGGAGGCATGACGGCGGTGGCCAGGATCAGCAAGATCGGTTGCTACACCATCGCCAACAGCAGCACCACCTCCGCCAGCAGCAGCAGCAGCAGCAGCAGCAGCAGCAGCAGCAACAGCAGTACCGGCAGCAGTACCACCCGCCGATGCTCCCGCCGCCCGATCACCAGCAGCATCAGCAGCAGCAGCAGCAACAACAACAACAGTACCACCCTCCAATGCTCCCGCCCGCTGACTACCTGCGGAATCCGGAAGGGGGAGCACAAGCGGAGCCGCGAGAATCCGCCGCGCCTAGGCAGTCTATTGGAGGTAGCGGTGGCGGCAGCGGCGGCGGCGGAGGCAGTGCGACTTCCGGCAGCATGCGCCGAGGCCCGGGAGGGGTCAACGAGACGCGCTTGTCGTCGTCGTGCTCGCTGTCCTCTGCTTCGGCGGGTCCCCTCCACACGCTTCCCTCGCAACGCCAGGAAGACGTCCTCGGTAGCTCTGGCGACGGCGGCAGCGGCGGCGGCGGAGGCAACGCCAGAGAGTACCTAAAGGGCCCGCAGCGGCACGGCGACAGCGATGACTTCGGCATATACGGCGATGATCTGCTAGGGTGAGAGAGAGAGAGAGAGAGAGAGGAGTAGTGGAGAGAAATGGGCTCCGCATGAGGCGTGCGTGCGTAAGCCCCCTCATGCGGTGGTGCCGTGTGCGTACCTCATGGTTGACGGAAGGCTTCGTTCAGAGACAAACGGGAACTAACTGTCTTGGTGCTGCTGCTCGTGCGTGCGGTGAAGGCGTCTTGTGTAGCTCTCAAAAGTGTTGGGGCGTATCGGCCATCTCGAGTGGCGTGTCAGGGGCGAGTTTTGATGTCGGAAGTGTCCAGGCGGACAGCTTTTTTCCCCCCGGTTTGTCCTCTCGAGTTTTTGTGTTTGTATCTTACCCTCGCACGCGGCAGAGCGACCAAGGTGACGGTGACGGACGTTGTTACACCACACGACCAGTCGTCTCTTTTGAGATTGGACCAACGCCACCAACTGGCTCACTCATGCGTTCCTCCCCGATTGTGGGTTCGAACACCACAGTCTCCGCCTTAGCGGCATTGGTTTCGTGGCCGGCTACGTTGTCGAGCACAAACAACCCCGCCCGCGCGACATGTGTGTACAACCCTTGCGCGCTCTGTGACCCATTTCGCGTCGGCGTTTTTGCTGCTTTTTTGCGCTCTCTTTCCGTTGAAACAGGTCCCATGCTTTCGACTCTGATCTGATGAAACTGATGACTGCCGAAGCGATCTGACGACGCTACATCCTGAAGGTCACAAGATCTGAATATCGTTGCGTCGACACACACATGGGGGCACGAAGGGGCCAGTCCGGGGGTAAAAAGGAGGGGGGGGTTCCCGTTTTTTTGTAGGTTTTAGGGGCCTTTTTTTTGGGGGGCGCGCGGGGGGGGGGGGGGGGGGGTGCATTGCCATCGTGTAGATTTATTCCCTGGAGTGGTGGTTTTCCTTGTCTACATCCTTGTTTATCTTCTGTTCTTGTGGAAGGTACGTCTGAAATCGGCGATGAACCCTTTCTTTTGTTCTTGTGAAAGGTACGTCTGAAATCGGCGATGAACCTTTCGAAGTGTGAGGTGTTGAGGCACAGTAGGGCTAGGGGAGGGGAGTGGGGGGGGTGTTCAATCGAGAATCAGGCCAGCTGTTTGATGAGCTTTTTGTGCGAGTGCTTTACATACATTATTGATATTTTTATTTTGGAGTGCGTCGTTTAGTACAGCAGCAGTAGTGTAGTGGTTTTTCATGTGGTGTTTTATTCCAATGTTGCAACGCAAGACTGCCGTTAAATTGAAGTATTCTACTCTGTGTTGTTTGTTCGAGAACGCTGCTGTTCCACTTTCTGCGTGCGGTTCCCCAGCAACCCACCCCTTTGCGATTTGTGGAGAGTTTCGATACGAAGATCAATCACATAGATTTCAGATGTATCAGTTTCATGAGGCGAGCGCACTTAGGTTTTTGTCCCGTCCCTTATCAACGTCGTGTTTTGCCCTTTGTCTTCATTTCTGCTTGTTTTGGTGTGTTTTAACCCCGCTCACACCCCTCACACCCCAAAGAAATTGCGTGAGGCTCGCTTTTTTTGGTTGTGCGTTGTGTTCGTTCGTTTGGCTGCGGTGAGAGTGGAGTATGGGGCGCCGATATTCGAGTCCTTTGGCGGTGTCACGCCGTGTTCATGTTTCCGATTGTCGGTGATGATAGTATTTATTATGTCCAGAGATGTGCTCGTCGAAGCCCCTCGTGCCGCCACTGCCGCTGAGCTGTTGCACCACTGTACACCTCAGAAGAAGCCGCACCAGGCTTGGCTGAAACAGGTCCATCATCGGGTAGAGACTAAGCGGACGATAATGTCCGTCCGGTAGACGAGGGGACGATCTTTTAAAGGGGCCTTTTCTTGGCCGTTGTTGCGGGCAACGAACACCAGGGCCAACCTTGTCGTTTGTGTGTTGTGGGGAACGGTCTCCTGTTCTATTTATTACGGGGTGTTGTTTGTGGGAGGGATAAGACCGGCACGTACTAGCATAGCGGAGTGTTCTTGGCCATCCCTCCCGGGGATTTTTCTAATTTGGGTTTTCCGGCAGCTCTCAGACATCGTCGGAGCATGCGGTAGAAGAGTAGGCATCGTCACATCGACACTGTATGTGTGTAGTCGTTACGATTTATTTTTGAGAACAAACCAGAGGAGGAGTTGGTTTCGTCTTAACCTGTCTGCGCGGCTGTCTGTCTCCGGGGGGCGTTTGCAAGAAGTTGCCCATTTTGGTTGCGCATGAGACAGTAGATTTTGTATAGAACACACACGGTGTATATCTTATTCCTTGTTGGTCGGAAGACGAGCATATAGTCTATTGCACGCACGTAGATCCAATCGATGTGCCGTGGTTCACACTCAGATCTCCTTATCTCCCCGCGAGGGTCGGTGTACGTGGTGTCTCGTTTGAGAGCGCGCCAACCTCTCGCGGTTTTGTTTCTGTAGCACCCAACAGAGCAAAAGGTAGTCATTATTTTGCCGTAGCCATGTGTGTCGGTTGCCCACGTGCTCACCGGGTGTTCAGCGTGTGATGTAGCTCCTCTTGATGTTGAAGTTCGTGCGCGATGAAGTCTGTGTCTACGGGCTATACCCGCGGCATCGAACGCTGTTGAGGCAAACCCCGCTCACGGGTGTGACTTCTTCACGATTACTCTCAACCTGGCTGCTTATTCTCGGTTTGTTTGTTGTTCTCAATTTGTTCGGTAAGGTTTGCACAGAGAGCCCGCATGTAGTTAAGCCCTTGATTTTTCCCCCTGAAGTTTTTGCAAATCGCCCGTCTTGGGGATGATGGGCTTCCGCAGCGAGCGATCGGCACATCATCAATCCTGCTGGTGGAGGCAGCGGCAGAAATAAGTTGCAGTCGACCACATCTACCTGCAGTGTACTCGCTGTCTTGTTTGGTGGGTGGTTCTTCCTGATGGGGTTGCATAGAGTATTTATTGTGGGATGGACGTCAAGAACGATATTCCAATAACTACATATAATATCTTCTTTCAGCTTGACTGCTGGCTTGTGGACGCTGATATATGGTAACGAGACGGTGTCCCTGCATGGTATCTATACTGATAACGCCTGCACTGAAAGACCTCTAGCTTTGGCCTAGACCGTGGGTTCTTGTTAGTTCCTCTCGTGGGCTACAAGGCCGATATGAATGTACCAAGTTTTTAGTGCGGGGGTTCTTCACCGGCCTCACAAACGGTACTCCAGTTCACACGTTCGACACTTGTATGTTGAGCATGAAGTCCTTGATTGAGTGTGGGCGCTATCTGTACTACTTGCTGGCGTCCTTTTTCCGGCCGTATAGACTAATGTAGGGTCTAAGTACGCGTTTCAAGGACTATTGATGAATACGAACAACGTGGTGAAGCTTTAATAAATGATAATCCGATGACGGCCTGACTTCACTAACTCGGGATTTCAACGCTGTGGTCAATCAAGATCGAAACACAAGGACGGGGCTACCTACCGTGGTACCTCTGTGAGGCGCTCCCGTCACGCACAACGTAAAACATGGTACTGTAGTACTAAACTCCTGCATCATAAACAGGTACAATTACGTCATCTTTTTTCGTGCCTTTTGCCTATCTATTTCGATCGTGGGTTTTCCAGTTGGTTCACGACAGACAGACATGCAACGAATCGACTAGAAGAGGGGGGTGGAAAATGGGGAACCTTTACAAATTACTTGTGACTCACCTTCATACGCTACCGATCGACAATCGAATAATATGTCATATGATCTTGCATCATCATCAATCCGTGTTTTTTATCAGGAGACCTACCTGTAAATTCCATCCACTCACTATTGATAAAAGCAAATAGGCTTCGAGACGTGGGCTACCACATGGTGCAGCAGTCAGTACAAACAAGAAGAGTTTTTCTGTGAAGGAGTACTTGTTGTACAGATATTTTCGGTCCTCCTCCAACGGGCCAAGCACCAAGTAGGATGACTGATTGATTGAGCCCCGAGGTGTATGTAGCAAAATAGCTCAAAACAATGCCGAAGTTCGTCCTGTTGTATTGGTTGTATGCCTGCGTAGGCCGAGGCTATCTACTGTTGTTGTAGACTATAATGCATGCATACGGTACTGTATACTGCTGTGTGTGTATTAGACCGGTAATATTGATGTATGTACGGAGTAGATCGTTCTTATTCTTCTAGTATGCATATATACTTAATGCGTACATATGAGAATACTTTGAGGACGGTAAATGTATGTGTAGATACGTGGTGACAAGATCTCCGGCAGCACTCATGTAGACTAGACTATGCATATGTAGTCTACAACAGATGAAATGTGCATCTCTCTGTACATCAAGTCTATCTAGCATTCCAATTGCCGACCTCTATATACAGCAGAAATTAATCTCTCGGATAATATACATACACGCACAGACGACTACTACCGCTCGAGATAATGCCCCAATCTAAGAGACGTATTGAAGTCTTTAGAGTGAGTGGTGAGAAAAACCCTTCTGCCTGCCTGCTGGATAAGGATGACTATCGGGAGAGACGACGAGTTTGAGCTTGTGTGCCGAAAATGCGGCGTAATAAAAAAAGAAACTCCGTGAATTGTTTCTTGGGGGGGTCTGCCGGCAGCGGTGCATTTCGCTTATTATAGTGGTGTGTCTTTAAGTCTTTATGCACCTGCCACGCATTTCCTTGAAGTGGACGGCGGGACTCGCCACTTACCACGCCTCCCCACACCCTCATTATCAACTGCACATCCTCCTGTAGCTCCCGCCATGTCCGAGGAAAGGGGTCGCCGCAAGAAAAGTGTCAAAGAAGAGGAGGCTGCAGGCAGCAGCAGCAGCAGCAGCAGCAGCAAGACCACAGCGGCAGCGGCGGTGCCCGAGGTGCGAGCGCTGCTAGATGAAGAGCAATCGGCGAGGGCGATCAACAGCAGCAGCAGCAGCAGCAGCAGTAGCAACAGAAGGATTATAGGTAACGAGATCGCCAGCGAAGACCCGCCCGCACCCGTGACACAGCAGAACGCAGCCACGGTGCCCGCACATCCAGAGGGCGGAAAGCCGCACCCCGGTGAGAAAAAAAGTAGGCCTAGGGAGCAGCAGCAGCCGATGACCCTTCGCGAGCAGCTCCAAAAACTCGTCTCGCAGAAACTCGCCGCAAAGGGTGAGCTTGACCATGCCGGGCTTTTGGCTTTGGAGACGCTCAGCAAGATGGCACCGGAGGGCGAAGTGGATCCAGTTGGCGGATCATCTGCTGGTGGTAGTAGTAGTGTTGGTGGTGTTGTTGACTCTCGTCCCCGGAGAATCCTCCCGCCTGGCATCGAGAAATTGACGAAATTCAGCGGCAAGGATCCCGGTGCTGTGTCCGACGTGCTCAACAGATTCCACTCACTTGTCGTCGCGGCACTGCCTGGCAGCTCGCCTGGCACAGTGAATAAGGCTCTGAACCGAGATGTCGTGTTTGTCTTGGAGGGTGCAGCCCTGAAGTTCTTCAAATCGCTGAAAGCAGGACAGATGGAGTGGGAACCTACCCCGCCTCCCTCCCTCCAGCAGCGAGGGGCAGAGGCGGGAGCAGGGGGCGTTCAGCAACAAGCAGGAAAGCCACCTTTCCGGCCCCCGTCGACCTGGGCTGAAGTCTACAATGCTTTCCACGACCACTATCTGCCGGCGGATGGTATCGCACGGACATCAGACACACTATTTTCTCTTAGCCAAGCTGCGGACGAATCCGTCCCGACGCTGGTCCAGCGACAAATGGGCCTGACCAATCACTTGAGCCGGTTAATTGAAGCCAACGGGGGGCAGACAACTTTTTGGGAAGCAATTATGATACGGTTGTTCGAGAGAGCGCTCCGCGCCGACCTGCAGCGGCTTCAGCACGCGGAGCCTCCGTGCCCGACTTTCCAGGAAAGTGTGGACCGTGCAGATCGTAACGCTCTAAGACTGGAGAAGGAGAAGAGTAAGAGAAGGAATGACGCTGGCGAAGGAGGTGGCGGTGGAGAGCGTCCGCCAGAGGACAATCGGCTTCACCACGGCACGAGACCGCAGGACAGCAGCAGCAGTGGTGCGGGAGAGGGGAAGGAAGGTGTGCAAAGTTCAGGTGGTTTGAAAGCACCAGCGCTTGTCCGGTCTTCTTCATCGTCGGCCAGGGGTCCGCTGACCGTGTCGGGTACTGGTGAAGACGTGGCTCCTGTTGTGGGGGGCTTCCTGCCCCCACACCGGAAGAGAGAGAATGATGCTGGTGGAGGAGGCGCAGGAGAGGGACGTGGGGGTGATCGACTTCAGCACGGTAGTAAAACGCAGCGTAGCAGTGACGTAGGAGATGGGAAGGAAGTGGTGCACGGCTGGGGTGGCTTGAAGGGGGCAGCGCATGCCCGGTCTTCTTCTTCTTCTTCTGTGGTCAGGGGTCAGCTCACCGTGCCAGGTGGCGTTGAAAGCGAAGCTGTTCCTGTGGGGGGCTTCCAAACCAGACACGGGAGAAGTGCAGACCGAAACGACGGTGGAGACCGGGAAAGGGTCGAGAGCATCTTGTCTGACGATGGGTCCCGATCCACCCCTGCGTGGCAAGATGAGCCGGAAGAACACGTAGTGCCTGGGGGGTCTGGGGAGTGGGGCGATGGTGGTGAGGTCAAACAAGATCGTAGCCGTGGGTCGCGAGGCAAGAAGAAGTCTCAGAAACGAACGCGGGATTGGCAAGAAGGCCAGGGCCGCAAGCGGGACAAGCAAGAAGACCAGGCCCCTTCACGGGACAGCCAAGAAGACCAGAACCGCACGCGGGACAGGCAAGAAGGCCAGCATGCCCGTGCCCAGCATCGTCCATCCCAACCCCACCGGCGGCGGCAGCCAGATCCCGACAACATACCGCCGTGCACCAATCCAGGGTGCAAGGCGAGGCGGAAAACTCATTCTTCGAACATCTGTTTCTACCACCCAGACCCAGCACATGCTCGACGAAACCGGATGAGAAGGAAAGACATATTCTTGAAGAACCATGCTGTGGAGGACGCGGGTAACGACGCGGGTAACTGGCCCCACAACAATTTCGACAAACTTGAGTTCTAGGGGGCGCTGGATCACCTCTACTGAACTTAAGGTGAGAGGGGGGAAATGGCTGCGACGGTGTGTTGTGAAGCAGAGCAGGGTCAGGCGGATAAGGGGAGTTATGCCCTGGGAGCATGATGGATGCCCTCAATTGGGCAGTTGGCTACGCGAGAACATACATTACTTTCGTTCTTGTGAGTGCGACTACGCCCGGTGCGATCTTCTGTGGGCGTGGAAAGCAAGTGACTGTCACGGCGTTGACGAACCTCCGGCCAAAATGAGGAGGCCGCGTCTTGTTGTCACGTTGCAGCAGAGAGCTAGTGGCGCTACCATTCGCGAGGTGGATTTTGCAAAGGAAGGATTTTCCCAAGAACTGTGAAGTTTCGGCATGGTGCAAAGGAACAAAGATTAGAAATTTCCCGGAAATTTCGGCGAAGTTGGCTGGTCCTTTTCTGTTTGCGCACGTCACCATTCGGCCTTGCCGCACGTTGTCAAGTCGCACACGTGTTTGGCTCTCCGTTGTTACAGATTTATTGAGTGATGATTGAGACTGGCTTCGAGGTCGGACACAGCAACCGGCAGTCAACCAAATACGATATGAGTGCCTGACAACGCACCCTGCTGTCTTCTTTCGCATCTGCCCCACATCTGCATGCACGGCTGTTCATGATGGACCCTACGACGACCATGTTTTCAGTTTGGCAGGATAAAGGATGGCCGTAGGCGCTAGTCGGGCAATTTAATCTGAAACAAGAGGGCGTGGGTGAAAGGTCGAGGCGGCTTCGCAACTTCCAGCACGGGTTGGTTGAAGACCCATCGGGAGTCACCCTGATATCCGCATAAGCACGGTGCTTCGTGCATGCATTTGTCGAAGGAGTAGTTGAAGGTCAACCGCTACTCAAATGGCCGACACGTAGAGACAAGAGGACGACGTAAAGGATGGTGGCCAGCTTGCCGACGTCAAAGCAGTGTTATTGGACCCATGTACCAAAAGAGGCAATTGAAGAGATTTCCAACATGTACCTGGACCGTTGTGCGCCAGAGAGAACCCTATGATTGCGGTATCGCAGAGACTTGGGGTCAAGGTCTGATGACCTCAATAATGAGCCCTAGCGGGAGATGCACTTGTCACAAGTGCAACAGCTCAAAGTTGTCTTCGCTGGGTACCGTGCTCCCTTCAACGGGTTGGAATATTTACGTTGCGAAGTCTAACGGCATGCCCGCCGTTGTCATTACGAGCAGGGTCAGGGACCATAGCGTTACATAAGTTTCGCACGCCCCTGAGCCTTGTGGTGGTACCCCACTTCCCGTGTTGTCGGATGTGCTTCGTATAGAGGTGGGACAATTCTACCGAACGTTTATTGACGTGGTTGATCTGAAGAAACCGCTTTTGTATTTGTAGCCCTCGGAAGCACCGGCTGCCTTACAGGCAGCTATGCTTTGCATTGTGAATTACTGCGCAGACATATGTATGCATGCATAGAAAGAAGCTTGACCGGGTGTCTGTGTGTGCGTGAATCGTTGCGTTGCAAATATTGGCAAAGATGCAACCATCTCGAGGGCTGGGAAGATATGGCGGTTGAGCCGCTTGTGATGCTGAAGATCTGAGATTATGTAGTTCTTGGAGAAAAATTGACATCAACTCATCATCTGCTGGACGGATGTTGGAGGTACGGCCCAAAGTTTGTCCCTATACCGTTGGCCGGGCGTGCTGCCTTGAGGTGCGGGGAAACCCCGGGGCGAACGCATTTGTTGGTGAAGCTCATGGAAAGGGGATTTCGGCGCGCAAGAAGTTCCAACCATGCCATGCGAGCAATGTTCCGGGGGGCAAGCTTGCTTCTTCAATTCAGACACGTGCAGACTCGGCTTCCTTTAACTTCGGAAAGAAGTTGGATTGGCATTGCAAAAACTTACTCTAATCGCATTTAACCCTTGGACGACGCAAGCTCACAACCTGGTGGTGGATAAAAATTCACCAAGTGAGGCAGATTTTTCTGCAGACTCCCACTCTCCTCCAGTACAACAACAAGCGCTGCTGCCGGGATGTATGCATACAACAAGGACTTTCCTGATGATCTGGGCAACAGGATCATGGCCACCAGAGGTCCGACTGTGTCGTTTCCCCGACAGACGCGGCGACAAGACGAGTCCCGCACACTGGCCAAATTTCTCTCAAGCAATCTAACCAATGGTCGTGTTGATCCAAGGTTCGCGGAGAGTCGTCACTTGGAAAGATTGAAGCCTACGGATCCAGGAGAGACATGAACGAACCTCCTACGGCTCTTCAGACCTACCATACGTGCTGTCCTCACTCAGGCAGAATAAAACTTAGGACTCATTTCCACGGGGAGAGACAACAAAGAGTTTGACGCTACTCACTGCTTACCAACCTATCTGTGGTGTAGGTCAAATCCGTGGAGCATCAACGAATCACAGGTTGTACCGGGCTAGCGAACAACATCTCGCCGACTTCACGCAGTGCCCACAAGAAGGTGGCGGGACCATAGGAACCTGTACTGCGGCAAGCGCGTTTGCTCTCCTCAGGTTCGGGCTGAAGATAACACCAGCCAAACGCACATGCTCCCCGGTGTCACACGCTGCCTTGCACGTCTCAAACAGCTCTCTGCCTGAGGTGAATGTTTCAATTACGAATGCAAATGCACGGATTTGTAATTGGTTGCAAGATAAGCAAAGCAGGAACCAAGAGGGTGGAGGTGACGTCGGTCCTCGCGACGGTGGATACGAGGTGCAGGAGTGGACGTGAGCATTCTTGGCTCGTGCAAGACACGTGGTCGGATGTTGCAGTGTTTCGCGTCCGAACACTCCACCAATCAGTCTACTGGAACGGTGTGCTCATCATTTGTTCCAGAAACATGCGCCTCAATTGAGTGCCAAGCGAACCAAAGCGCAACTTATTCGCAAGGCTTACCTTGTTAGAACTTCCAGCTGCCGCGGGCAATTCCTGATCATGTATTCCACCAGCTTGCCCTGGCGTCGCAGAGAACACAGATTGAGGCCCGTATGGACACACTCAGATACCTTGAAAGATATGTAACTTAGTTGACCGACCAGAGCCTTGAGATCATACCGAGCTCACGAATTCAATTCCTTCTCCAACATGAAGCATGAACCGTACCCCGTCCTCCCCGAGTCCACACGCATGAAAGGATGCATTCCTTTACAACGATCGCAAGGTTTCCATCAGTACAACGATCACAATTGCCGTTGCTCCGATTTTGTGGTTGCTGTTGTTGTCTTAAAGTTGAAGATCCTCATCACCTTCCTACTCTTGACGGACAAAAAAGTTCGTATGCATTTTTTTTTTGTCTTCACTTCAAATCAACGCTCACAGCACATGTGCCATTTACTCCAACCCGTGGCGCATAACGTGAGGAAAAAAAATAAACAATACAGGAAGAGAAGTGTAGATCCCTCGACCTAACTAAATACCAAAGGCAAAGGCAGAGAGAGCCAAGGGCAAGCCCGAAAGAAAAAAGTAGATCGTATCATCCTTTGGAAGTGGCAATGCGAGAAGACAAGAAGAATTCCTGCAAAATGATGATAACAAACCTCCTGTGTAACCGGTATCCTCGCATTCCTATGAAGCCAGGGAGTGCTAACCGCCGGATATAGTTTTCGCCGATCAGGTCAACTCCATTCCACACCCTGGGGGTGTTAGAAAGTTGTAGACTACAAAGCCAGTACGAGGAAATCCAAGCATGCACATCATGCAAAGACATCAGCACTAATTGCATACGCTCTGTCCTAAACATGATCCCCACGCGCCACTACCACGCCAAAATTTCAGTCAGGTGTATCAGCGACCAGGCAAACACCTGTCACGCCCAGATTTTTCAGTTGTGGCAGCGGTCACACAACACGGACCGTCTCGCGTTGCGATTACCGCGTTTCAATCTTGCACATCATTCTCAACACTCGTAGCTTTTCCCGGGCTAAACAATTAACATGAGCGAAACGCCGAGGTAACGCGTCTTACCTTGACAGGGCGCCCAGACTCCCCTTCGCGTCGAGCACCAAGAGAGCGCGCCAAAGCTGTTATGCTATCTCTGGCAGACAACACGTCCGACTCTTTTGATATCGTCTCGATCTCCACCACTTCGTGACCAAACTCTACCTGGCGACCAGATGCTCGGTCGATGTCCACGGCAAATACACCCAACCTGCGTGAGCAAAGGTAAACGGATGAAGCACTGGCATGCCTCGCTCATGATATCCTATGGTGGCGGAATAATGCGTGACGCATTTGCGTGATTACCCAATATCCAATGTTCGCCATCATGTATGCGCACAACGTCGTTATTTGGATCGAGCATTCCGCTTGAGCACGCGTTCTCATCAGGTTCCTAACAGCAGAAACAAAAGCTACGCCCGGCCATCCTCCTGGCATGCCACATACCGGTATTTCAGTCTATTGGTGCGGAAAGAAGCGAAGGCTTCGAAACCCGCAGCTTCCAGCACCCGTTTGTCGATGCGAGACCCGTGAAGGCGGTGCGTTTTCGACTCTCCAAGAAACCCTGCCTCTCGTAGCTCGCTCGCGATTTCCGAAGGTGCCGTCACCTCTCTGTACGCAGTAACCCCTTCGCCCACGTCAGCCGCTGGTACCTGAAAGGACACAGGCCAAGATCAGGTTTGGGAGAAAGTCGTGAACAGTCATAACAATTTACAATCACGAGCGGTAGGTCATCGAGGGAGGTGCGTACCGCCTGCTCCAAGCGAACATCGTTGGAAACCGATATTCCACTACAACTCCTTCCACTTTACCTTGAGCTCCCATCGACCGGCACGGCTTCGGAGCCACCAATCTATCTCCGTCAGCCCGCAGCCTTTCGCATCCCAATACACATCTGTAAAGACTTGCTCTCCCACGAAGTGTCCTCCTCGCGCCAGCACCGTTTCCTGAGACGACGTGTGTATCAAATGTGCTTGAAAGTAAGGACAGAGAGAAGAGCCGACCGCAACAGCAGACGCTGAGCCTCGCAGCTGTTGTTTGTATTGAACACTCTGTGACGGCCGTGGAACTGCTTGAAATGCGCTGATCCTTCGTTGTCCTCTCACTGTGGCTGCTACGCTTCGTCAAGTACATTTTGACATACGAGTCAACGATCTATAGCCCACAACAAGCAACCCTTGTTCCAAGTGAGCTTTGCTTCTCAACGCTCCTCGCGAAGGATCATCTTACCTTGACCTTGTCGACATCATGCGCTGAAAACTTGGCTTCCACCTGTACAGCGGCGTGGAAGACTCGTCAGAACCAACGACATCGTGCCTTCCATGGAGGCTCTCGCAACAAGTGGAAGATAAGGCAGTTCGGTAACCCAGTAGGAGGTGCAGACACAACAGCGTGCTGAATCTCGTCAGGATCCCCCAGAGAGACTACCATTAATAGCACATCGTCAGTAAACCTAACCCTCCTCTTTCTCACTTCGATGATTCTTTGGGGCGGAGATTGATCCCTCCTTCCGTTGGTGTCGTCAACTGCCGCAGCCCCTTCAGTTCCTTCTGCGACCTCTCGTCTGTCCAGCTCGAAAAAATCAGCCAGCGCCTCGGCTGTAAGGGCCATTGTTGAGGGCTTGGTGAGTGCGTGGTCGTCCTCCACGAAAGTCGCGAACGAACATTCCCCCATATCCCCCCTGGTAGTACGGCAGCGTTGCAGAGTTTTTCCACGCACGACGTGAGGGCAGCAATGTTGAGGGAAGGAGAGAGGAGTATCACCAACGCTATGCGACTACAATACTGCGGGGGAAATTTGAAGTCCACAGTCGACAAAGTAACGAAGGACACTTTACCGAGGTCAGAACACCACCCTCTGCTTTATGGCGCACCTCCCCTCCACGAGCGATTTGGTCACCGTTGCCGGCACGACTTCGTCCTGCAGCCCGTGCACAATCGCCGCTGGACAGGCGTACGCCGGGTAGTCGGGTTGCAGCCTGGCTTCTTCGACAAAGGTCCAAGGGACACTAGCTTCCCCGCCGGTTGATAAGGAAAAGACTGTGGGCGGACGACCCACGAGAGAAGGCGTTGCATCGACGAAAGGTAAGATGTGCTGTCAGTCGGCTTAGCTTTAGGGCGCGAATCCGCGCACTCACCAAGTATGTTATGGACATGCGAAGGGTGCATGGTCATTTTCTTATCGGCCATGATGTGCACTACATTAGTACGCCTGAGGCTAGACAACAGTAACCTGATTTGGAAGAACGTGGAGATCGCACGGCTCTACACTTTAGAATAAGGTGTCCACATGCAGTGCTTTCCTTCTCAGCTTCGTGAGAACACCGTAACGATATGTACCTCTCGCTCCCGTCCGCTCCCACTCGGCCATCTCCTCTTCGCTCGCGAATTTGCCAGCTCTGGTCCCCAAGCCGAAGCTGGGACAGAGCATGAAGATCCGGTCGACCTCTTCAGGGTACAACTCGGCGTATCTGACGAAGACCGATATCGTTGTGGTCAACCACACGCGTAAAGACAGGTGGCAAAAATATATGAGGGAACAAAATACAAATTGGGTGCCACACACAGTCGTAGTATATCGGAAAAGGAGCACACAACTTGCGCACCTTGCAACGACGAAACCCCCAAGGCTGCTTCCAACAAGCCGTAACTTGAGGCCTTGGTCGCCCAGGGCACACTTTTGCTGCAGATGAAACGCTCGTACCGCCTCCACCGCTCCCGAGCATGTGATGGCTCCCGGGTCGTTTCCGCCGTTCAGATTCAAAAGCGACAACTCCACATCCACTTCGAGCAGAGACTTGCGTAGGGCCTGGCCTTTTATCGATGCTGGTCCGCTGAGGAAGCCATGGCAATATGCATAGGCGAAGCGCTGCTGCCCTAACCCTGCGTGCGGATGTTATACACCAGAGAGTGAGTAGAGCCCTTGAATGCCGGTTGTGCGTGCACACATGTGCACGGCGGGGAATCATGTGTCGACTTTTTTACCTCTATGCCGCTACAGCCGTAGTACAGCAGTATACATCTTACAACGCGTGAAGATTATCACTCCATTGCAGCTCCGACTTTTCCAATAAAGCAAGGCGAGTGCAAGAAGGACAGACTGCACACGGTATGTTAATCAAGGGCGCGTTGGGGGAGAGCGAGCGGGACAAGGGCACCCAAGTTCGGCAGCAATTCCCATCGATTTGTTCACTCACCTGGATCCCCGGTCGCCATGGCAAGACCGTGGCTACTCCGTGTAGGCAAGACAAATCCGCGGCATCGAGTTCCCGCGGCAACGATTATCCCCCACTTGCGCATGAAGTTGTGTTCGCGCGCGTAGGTGGTAACTGAGCAGCCGCAGCAGAGGAGCGCGTGATGAGCAGCGCACGAGAACCAGCAGCAGCAACGGAAGCGGCGGAACACCGAGGAGAACCGTAACGCCGCGCAAACCAGCCGTATACCCCTTGCCGACATTTGGGGCTCCAAACTCCAAACCTCCGGATTGACGTGCCGCCAGCGCGCCCGGTACTCCTCTCTGTCGGGTTCTGGTGAGTTCTCCTGTGTCCCATGTGCAATTTGTTTTATTTGTGCATGAATGTTTTCATCCGTAGTGGTTTGATGCAACAATAGCACCTGCGGAGTGCTGTGCTGGAGCTCTCATGAGGTGTACAACGGCGGTTGACAGCAGTGAAAGCTAGTGGGGTCCAGGTCCATCGGTCCATCGGTCCATCGTGCCGCAGCAGCAGCTGAGAAGCATGGTGTCCAGAACAATAGGCTCCCACTTGCACCAACATAAGAACAACTGGGTGAGCAACTGGCCCTACATGCTTGTGTTAGTAGGAATGGTATTGCCCGTTGCGCCTTTTGTCGGAAAAACAAAAAACAGTAAATCGAAACTTTGGCTTCCCCCCCCCCACTCCTTACAACCCCGACCCTGTCTGCGTATCAAAAAACGCTTATGCCGTTGCCCCTCACTTGCAGCTGTTATTTGATGTGATTTCCTGATGCCGCTGCTCTTGTGCGTGTCGTTGTATCTCTCCTGCTCTGAAGAGGACGTCGCCCGATTCGATCGGTGCGGTGCGGCGCGGCGCGGTATGGCCAACTTTGACGAGGTGTACCGAGAGCCTTTTGAGCGCTGCCTCACTCGCTTTCGCGACCAGCTAACCCCGACTAGATTACGGGACCTCAAGAGGGACGGCCGTGTCGTGATCGACAACTTCTTGGGGCGGGGATGGGCTCTGGCGCTGCTCCAAGAGATGCGCTGGCTGCACGGGCAAGGGTGGGTTGGGTTTGGGTTGCCCAAGCGCGGCCGCGGTGTTGTGGTTTTGGAGAAAGGCGGTCTGTACAGGCTGGCGACCTCAACAGAGGATGACTGGCTCTCTCGACCAGCCTTCTCATGAGATAATCCGTCTGGTCTTCTCGGACTGTTGGAATTTGATCATGAGCGCGACCGGGTTAACCGTACGCATCGTGCAAGTATTCAGCTAGAACGGTACACGCTCACAAGATCGAGATTGTATTTTGCGGCAGGTCACGAAGTAGTCCGTCTTTTAGTTGTGCTTGGGTAGCGGCTGATTTGCCTCCTTTGCCTCGTGCTTGCGCTCTCGCTGGTCCCTCTCTCCGCTCCACTGCTGTCTGGAAGGCTGATGCGGCCGAACGAGACACAGTTCTCGCACCCAAACGGGCAGCGGCTGCAATTTTCCAAGCCCAACATCTTCGAAGTCGACCTGCATGATGATTCCATCCGCAACAGGTGAGTTAATTTGCCGACTTCCGCTCCGTGTTCCAGGAGCAGCCGACCCCCCCCCCGTCCCGTCGCGTCCCGTCACGTCCCCGTCCTACTCACTACCATCACCCTCCTTTTGACCAAGTATTAGAAGAAAGGTGGTAGCAGTAGTCTTGGCTACCATACACGCCAACTCCGATTCTACCGCTCTTCTTGCCGCGGGGCTTTGATATCAGCTCGCCGTCGTACTCAAAAGAGTTGCTATACGTGGCTTTGAGATCGGTCGGAACGTCCTGAAACACTTGTTTGGGACGTATCATGGTATTGTATAACCGGATGCGCGTGCAGCTCCCTGACAACTCAGCAGATGCCCCACCCCGCCCCCGCCCCCTACTTCTGTGTGTGGTCTTCGGTACCTCTTCCGATTCGTTTCAAGATTTCGCAGTTCGTTCGACAAAAGATGACCCTGTCCCCTCTCCCCGACCGCAACACACGTCTCCGTGTCGCAAGGCGCATCTGCGAGCAGCAGCACCCCATGCCTAGCTGTTTGTTTCCTAGTGACTGCAACAAAATTGCCACCAATTGGCGGCGCCATCGACGGCAGGCCTCACAACCCCCCCCCCCTGCTCCCTAATCCCAAGCCCTCGACAGCCCCCTAACCTTGACTGCTGTGTCGCGTTCATGCTATGTTACCACCCACGAAGACTGCCGGAGATGAACGCCCTGTTTCACCAAGAAGCGCTCGTGGAGGCCCTGGCGGCCGCGTTTCCCGAAGGCTTGAGGCTCGCGCGCGGCACTCAGGGGAGGACCCTGAAGCTGCAACGGAACGCAGGTGCGCAGGACTGCACGAAAGGACCATCTGCCTGTTACGACGTTGCGGAAAGTTGAGAGGTTGCTAATTTCTAATTTCCTACGGGAGTGTAGGGGGCCATACGTCGTGGTGTTGCGGCGATTCTTTTGCGAGCCGGTTATTCGGGCGCGCGCGTGGTCGTTTTGTGTGGCTATTGTGCACTACTCGACGGAGTCCAGAGGAGAAAGCAATACCTGGTACTTGGCAGGTAAAGGTGGACTCCCCAACGGTGAGAGTAAAGGGCATCTTGTTACTGTTTTTTTCCCGCGCCACATGTGAAGCTTTTTTTGGGAGACAACGGCGCTGTTTGGTGGAGCCGTGGGCGATGTCAAAACGCGATTTTTTTTTGGCTTATTCCCCTCGTTTTTTGTCGCACGCCCTGGTTGAGGCCACAACCGCGGTTCATCTGGCGGCCTCTTTTGTTTTTTCACGCGTGCACAGCTGTGCGTCTGAAACGGCATATCCTTCGCCTTCGTCTTGAAGGTACTTCTCGACCCTGTAGCTCGTGCACCCCTCAACAAAGCTACCCTGGTCGGTGGAAGTCCGACATGCTACGGCTGTACACCACAAATGCCCTTCCTCTCCCTCGGCAAACCTGTCACGCCGTGCCCGCTATAACCAACCCAACCCCGAAAAGGTTCAGGGGGCTGCTTTCCGCTGCACTACGACAATCCCGGTCCTCCGAACAAGCGGGCGCTGACCTGCCTCCTGTACCTGAACCCGAGCTGGAAGGAAGGGGACGGAGGGGAAGTTTGTCTCACGCCGTTTCTCCAGAAAGAGGAGGCGATAGCTCCTCTGCTCGACCGTCTGGTGGGTATGGAGCAGGGAAGGTGGATCAATTTGTTGCTCGGACCGTGAACCACTTCTCGTCTTCTTACGAGGTGGAGCATCCGTCCCCAATGGGGGGTAGGGATGCAGCTGCTCAATGTTCTAGGTGGAAAATTCCGAGAACAATGGGTCCGTCCGTGCAAAGGTCGTCGCCTGCTCTGAAACGTGCCGCGCCACGGTTTGTTCGTGCGCAGTAACGACCTTGTGGCGTTACACCGGGCCGCCGCTCCCCATGCCGCCCGCTGTTTTTTTGCGCGGCCTCGGCGGAGATGGTGCCAGACGACCGAGGACTCTTGTCACGAGCGATGCTCACGTTGCCCCCGACCTTGCCCCGCCACGCAGCAGCCACAGCTTGCTCAACAGGCTACGGGGCACAAGCTTTGTAGTTTGTTGCTTCAAACATGTCGATAATTGCTCTACCCCCTTCGGGCCAAGGCAACAGCAGTAGTAGTCGTGATTGTCTCTCGCCGCCGCTGCCGCACCGTACCCTATCCGCTCATCATTTGTTCGTCGTCTTCTCTCGAGTGTTCTTCTTTCATGCAGGTCATATTTCGGAGCGATCGCGTGCTGCACAGGGTGCTCCCGTGCAATGCCGAGCGCTTCATGCTGACGGTGTGGATAGACTCGCCCGACGTCAACCCGCCGGAGGAGTCCACGCTTAGAATATCTCGATCACAGCTCGATGACTGGTGCGTGTTTCGTGTTCGACCTCATGTTTGTAGAATGTGCACCACTCCCCAAGATGGCCGCGTGCGGCAGATACTGGCTGGATCCTTTGAGCACGCTTAGATTCATCCGGAACGAAAGGGGAACGGTAGAGCCCCGTTTACTAATGTTCGGAAATCTGGTTCGCGAATCTCAGCATAGTCATGTTTGGCTCTGTTCGGCCGGGAAAAACACCATGTTGTGATGTTTAAAGTTATATGTTTATCGTTCGGTTTCCAGACCTCATTATAACGAATTCGGGCGGAATTTTTTTTACGAAGGCACGAACTCAATATTAAGCCCGACTTATCCCAAGCCAAATCTTTGAAGAGCTACCTCACGCTGTGGTTCTTGCGCGAGCCCCCCCCCCGCCCATTGACCCCCCCCCCAATTCACTTCGTGAACTCGGCAACCAGGTTACCGGTTTTTTTTTTGCCTCGCTCTTTTTTTTGGCGGTAACCATAGTGGTCGTCGAGTAGATCATGTTGTGCGGGGTGGAGAATCCTCACTCCGCGCAACGGGGGATGATCGCACCACGTTGTGTTAAAATGGTCAAGCATCCTCGAGGCAGTTACACAGTGCTTACAACCGTCTCTGGCAGTGAAAGCACCAGAAAATAAATTAAGT